AAATATAATTATTGACAAGAGTAAACAAGCACTGATAGTGTAATATACAGCTACAGATTTGTGTGTGTGTAAAAAAGATTTGTATGTGTAAAAAGAATTTGTATGTGCGTAAAAAAGATTTGTGTGTGGACTTAGCCAAAAAAACCCCTGCAAGTTACAAGTACGAATTTTGACCCTATTTTTCTTCCTTTCATCTGATTGGTCAATGTCATGTCAATCACAAATGTAACAATCCAATCAGAGAACAGATGGGTTTGGCTGTCGGAGGGGCACTTTTTTGAACTGCAGGTTCTTGAAGGACCGTGTGTCTATGTGAGTGCGCGTGAGTGACTGTGTGCCTGTGTGTAAGTGCATCTGTATATATGTGTTTGTACCTCTGCGTACGTGACTTCCTGGGGGGTCATAAAAGTCCATCCCCGTTCCAGACCACAGTTATCCAGTTACAAATGTTGAGACCCCCACCCAAGTATGCCCTGGGGAATTTCCACTCAGCATTAACTTCTCTTTGTCTTACTTTCACAGCTCAAGTGGGGGAAGGTCTCTTAGAAATCTACTCCTAAGTTTATGACACTCAGGCCTTTATTACATCGAGGGCAGTGTCAGTGTCTCTACAATAATTCTACATTTCTGAACTCTAAAATACGCTAAACATATCTTCAAGACTTATTTCGGTAAAAGAAATCAAACATTTTCAATCCCAACAACACCCAACATCCCAACATCACTCCAAAAGCATAAATATTGAAAAATATTAAAAAATAAAAATGGAATCTCAAAGGATATCATCCTAAAAATGGCATTCAGGGTGTTAGGGAGTTTTTATTGTTTTATTTGCTTATGCTTCAAAAGTTATGTTACACATATTCCACCAGACACAGTTTTCTGTAGAAACAGGAAGCTGACCCTGTGACACTGACAAGAGACCAGCACAGAAATACATATCCGCAGAAGTTGACTTGCATTATATTATTCTTAGAAATTGACTTGCAACTCACATACTTTGTGACACACACACACACACACACACACAAACACACACACACAGACAGCATCAGGACCTGCGTAACAGGAAATGTGATTATATTTGCATATTGACGATGTAACCTATAAAAATAAACGAATACTGCAGTTCGGTGTGATTTGCTCTGAGCTTTTCACCCGTGCAGCACGTTAACCTACACAAGTGTCTCAGTGTTGATTATTCACCTGATTGTTTGTTAACTGTAAATCTCTGATACAGGGTTTTGTTTTTTTACAATAAAATAAAAAAGCAGCCAAGTTTTCATTGAAAATGTTGAATTTTAGTAAAAACAATGCTCTGTAGCTTGATATTGTTGTTACAGACAAAGTGGATGTTTAAAGCCTTTGGATGTGCATTTAAAAGTCTTGCATTGCATTCCTTATCAGCTGGAAATATTCAAGCCATGAAATTACTTTTTTGAGCAGCTAAAAAAACATTAAACAACAGCAATGTTCATCCTGTTTCAAATTTTGAAAAAGCAGCTAAAATATACTGAGATTGCTCCACGGTGTTAGTGAGTTAACTCTGGATGTCTGTGGGTTTTGTCAAACTTGGAGTGAACAAAAGCAGAAAAACAGTAAAAGATGCAGACAGTGAAATTCTGGTTTATTTCATGAATACAATGAAACATTTTACAGTCCACAGAGCAAAGTAGCATACAGTACATGGTAAATAGATACACATAAAACGAACAGTGAGAAGTAAAAACCATCGTCTTACCAGATGTTTTATTCTGTAAACTTAAAATAAACCCCTGAAATTAGAGTTTAGTGTTTTAAGTCATCTATTAAAAACATGAGTCAACACTTCTTTCTCTCAGCAGCATTACTGAAGTGACACTTTAACAATCTTTCATATCACAGACTTTATGATGATAAAACATGTTTTCCCATTAGTAGAAGTCTGCGCTGTCACTTGTCATGAAAATGTCCAGAGCCAGGGTTCAAGCTTCCGCTTCAATCACCATTGATCATTAACCCTTTAAAACCGGTCAGAGCGGGCATGCTCTGTTTTGCGTAACTATTTTTAAATCCCGGTAGCACTGCAACCACTTGAGCTAGCGCAATAATTTTTTTTGCATATGAAACCGGAGGAGTTGTACTTACATCTCATGCCATCAGCTTGTCCTAGGTCACAGTTTCCTTCCACATATAGCTTTGCAAAAACTGCATAAAAAGCACTTGCAGCAACAAAAACATAATATTCCAGAAACTCGCTTTGCCGATCCGATCAGCTGTTTGTAACACTTCCTACGTCCATCAGCGTGAACTACCGCATGTCCGCCATGACCTGCCCGAAACCGGAAGTGATGTCATTTTCGCGGAAATGTAGTTTTTTACCATCAGGGCCTCATGAGCCTATACTGGTGTTTTTAAAAGTTATGTTTGACTTTATGACTTTCTGTGTCGTTTCTGGGATGCTGAGGACTCATATTGCACTGCTGGAAATAGTTTATTTTGATGCATATGCTGCTTTTTTGAAAATTTGCACTATAATATTTATTTTCCTGCAGTATATAAAAATTGGTGTATTTCAAAAATAAAACTATGAAGACACTCAAAATAAATTTCCTGTGGTGGGAAACTATTTTGTGCAACTTTTTTGTATTTACAGTTTTGCGGGATAAGCCTCTTAAATTTCTCTAACTAGAAATATATGTTAAAAAACAAAAAATATTTAAAACTTTTTGTAGTTTATTGCACTTTTTTGTAATTTATGTAATTACTATGCACTTAATGCATGCATATTATTAAAATTTAGGCTGTAATGGTTGTATTGATGTATAGCAACTTGAAATGCTCCCAAAAATGGCACTACAGCATGTAAAAATATAATATAAGCTCTGGCGGACTTGGTTCTATGGTAGGTCTTAAAGGGTTAATAGGACCCACAAAAGATTTGTCACATTATCCCCGTAAACAACATGTTTTTATAGAAATCATTGTGACACAAATATTGAGATTCTTGTTTCACAATGTGCATGAACGCAAAATCTTTAGTTTCATATTTGTAAAGTATCGGAAAGAATACATTTATTCCACTGTATGAACTACACTTGTTGTAAAAAAGCTGATTGGAAATACATTAAAAAAAAAAAGCTCCTGCCATGACCTTCCTTCTGCGAGCACACATGCACAAACACACGCTCACATAGTAGCACACGCAGCATTGCACACACACACGTGCGCGCACACACACACAGAAAAAAGAGAGATGAGTGTTTATAAACCCAATTTCTCCTCCTCTGCATTAAGCAAAATACAAAATGAATGGATATAGTATCAGATGTTAACAGGGCCAGGATTAATGAGCAGAAAAATATTGGAGCTAAAAAAGAGCAACACAGGCAAAGCAACATAAAATGCTTAAGCAATGACAAAGGTCAGATGTGAGTTTGAATTTCAGGTTATGAATAACATAGAGTTGGTCAAATTCCTGAGAGAGAGGGAGAGACAGAGAGACAGATAGAGAAAGGTACTCTTGGTGGATTATTTTGACACCAACTTCAGAGTATCAACAACATTAACTTAAATCGTAAGGCAGCTGTTAACATCTTGAAGTCACAGGCTGCAGGTGTGGTGTGATCACTCCGGTGTGTCTGCCTTGCTGCAGCTGCGAAACCAACCACACCCCGCCACATGGAAAAAAGCTGAACAAGAATCAAGATCACATAGTCTGTTAAGAAATTGAGAGCAACCTCACCGCCTGTGCTACCCTTTGGTACACCTGCTGCACAGCTGTGAGAGGAACAACATGCAATGCATGTTAAATGTGACTCAGTGGATTACTAGGTCAGCAATAATTTTAACCTCCTAGGACCTTGCGTCCATATATGTGGACATCACATTTTGGGTTATTTAGACCAAAATACTAAATTTTGCTCTACAAGGGCCTGATATCCACTTACGAGGACATTATACTGCCACTGTTCTATCAGAATTTTAAATGAATATCCTTGTAAGTGGCTCTCATTTTTCTTAGAAACAAAAATCAGGTTAAAAAACCCCCCGGTAATTCTTTGTTTTTACATTCATTGGGTCCCAATCAGCCTAAATAACAAAGAGAAATTAAAAATGCATGCCATGGCAGAGTTCGGTTCTTAGGAGGTGGATCATCATCAAAACTCACAGAAACAGTCTGAGAAACAGCTTTTTCTGCCAGTAAAGTAAAGTGTGCGTGTTAGTCCCCATAGGGAAATAGTTCCTCTGCATTTAACCCATTCACCCAGTGAAGCAGTGGGCAGCCAGCAGTGCAGCGCCCGGGGAGCAGTGTGTAGGGACGGTACCTTGCTCAGGGGTACCTCAGGGTAGCCGTTCAGTGGAGTCGAACCCCTGACCTTCCGATCATGGGGCCACCACTCTACCTACTGAGCTATCCCTGCCCCTTTTTTTTCCTTTTTTTTTTTTTAAAGTAAAGTTCCCATGCCATGCTTTTTCAAGGTCCCATTAATACACTCATTTCACCAACCATAAACAGATATGCACATGTGACATGGTCTTCGTATCACTGACCACATTTCCTGTTAAACAGTGTTAAGAGTTTAAACAATATTTTTTAACTTATATATTTAAAAAAGACTTCTTAGTCATCTATAATTCTTATTTGAGTGTGTGATCATAACTCTTATTCACTTGGTACTTTTTGAATTTTCAAGTATATTTGGGAATAATAAGTGTCAGTGATTATTGACTTTTTCTTTATTGTTCGTGTTGTGACATGTTGTGGAGAAAGACAGGATGCTTTCTTGGTTAGAATCAGATCATTCACATCTAAACAAGTAGACCAAATAACAGTGAGAACATTTCTCTCTATATATCTGCTTAATTTAGGAGAAGAAACAGTTTCATCAAACTAGTGCACTTCCTGTTGTCACAGTCACATGTCTATTAGTGGTTCAGTGTTTGTCCCATATATGTGGTGAAAACAGGAAAGGTGGTTGCTAAGCTGTTGCTATGTGCTCTGATGTCACACACACTATTGAGGAGTAGGGTATAAAACAAGTGGTCACAGAGATAACTTGAGTTTCTTCTGAGCTCCTGAAAATACAGAGTCTCTTCATCCTTTCATATCTTGATATTATTTTGGCCATGACACGTCTTAAGAGAAAAGGTAAGTGACCTCTTTCTAACATGCCCTTAAGTGTTACCAGTAAGGTAACTACGTCCCTCAGGAGGGAACATAGCTCATATTACTGATTATTATTACTGAGATGTAATCGAAAATGCTATCCACTTAGCCTTTATTTTTTAGTATAACAAATAAATTCAATTCAGTTTTCAAAAGTGTTATATTTCCTAATGCCACTTTAGTATAAATGACAAAATTTGCAAGACAGATTTTTTTTTTACTTGTGACATAGCAAATAGATAACAAATAGGAAATGAGCTAAAACTGCACCATAGTTCCCCAGCTTCACTGCTCACTTAATGCAGGTTAAGTGAATCTATTATTATATATTTGTTAACTTATAGGTTATCCTTATTATTGCAAAGGCCAGTCATTCTGCAGCCAGCTTTTTGACTAATCCATAACAAATATCTCATTCTATAGATTTGAAACTACATAGGCATTCTAGTAATTACATTATTATAGTTATGATTTATTAACAATAGGTTTGGAATACCTCCAGTTTAAAATCTTAAATTAAAATGATGCTCAGTATATTAATAATCTACCTAATATTTGCCCACTTAATGCAACTTGAGAGATATTTTTTGGTTTGACAGTGTATATTGAAATCTATCTAGAAAAAAAAGTATTAACTAACTTAATTAAGGTGTCGCAGATGAATACAACAAAATAATACCAAAAAAAAAAAGATTTAATCATAACACACCCAGACCCAGGGAGACCGAGTTAACGATAAAAACATTAAAAAAAAATAACGAGAAAAAATTAGAAAAACCATGAAAACCATGAATTTCACACCCTTGTGGTCCGGTACCAAACGACTCATGGACCGGTACCGGTCCATGGTTGGGGACCACTGATGTAACAGAACTAGAATGATTTTTGGAACTGTGTACATAAATATCTTATGCTTAGCCTGTCCCACTCTTGTCTCACTTCACAGATTTATCCATGTGACTGTACAGCTGTTGTCCAGCTTTGATTGCCGTGTAATCAGCAGTGGTGACACAGGGTAACCCTTCTTTAGGTGCAGGGATAGCTCAGTAGGTAGAGTGGTCGCCCCATGATTGGAAGTTCGGGGGTTCGAATCCACTGAACGGCTACCCTGCGGTAACTCTAAGCAAGGTACCGTCCCTGCACACTGCTCCCTGGTGCGCCTGCACAGCAAATCCAGCATGTCCAAATTAACACTGTCGGATTTGATTTCAACACTATTAAAGTGTCTATATGGGTCCACACCAGAGAGTGTTAATTTAACTCTTTTTGGAGAGTTGGTACGTTAACTCTGATTTAGTGTTAAACACCAAATCTGTCTGGAGTTGATCATTTAACACTGGGTGTTAAGAGTTTATATATTAACTCTCAAAGAGTAACTACGTAAGAGTTATCTTCTAATTCATTCTAAAAAGCAGGAATTTTACTGTTCTGAACTTCTAGAAATTTCTTTTGGAAATAAACATTTACTAAAAAGATGCAATGGTTTTTGAAAAACATTTATTCTGAACTGTGCACCACAATTTCAAAACATTTTCTGAAAGATGTAACAGTGTACATGTTCTCACTTTCATTAGAATTTTGTTTATCAAAAGGTCTGACATGGTAAATGCAAATAACAGCATTCTCATCACTTATTTCTTCAATACAATATGCATGTCCTTTATTCATCCCTTTGTGGAACTTCAACGCACTTCTGCTCTCACCCATATTCCATCTTCACAAGCATTTCCTGTGCGGAGATTGAATAAAAATTAGTTGACACTAATTAATGGCACAAATAATCCAGTAAACAATTGCAGCACAGTAAAAAAAAAAAAGGAAATCCTCTTTGAGCCATTACTTGTGTAAAGTATTTTCTCAAAAGACAAAGACACAGGCAACAGGTAATACTGAACTAAATGTAAAACCTCAACCTTTTTCATTTTTACCTAAACCGTGTGCACAAAACTCTGGAGGGATCTATGCTAACGTCGAACCCAGTCAGGACGTCTGCTACTGCTGTTTGCTCGTTTTTTTTTATGGGCGATCGTTTTCAGGCTTCAAGTAGCACCATTATACCAACATTTCACATTCTAGACATTGTTTTAGGTGTATTTGACCAAAGGTTTGACTGAAAATTCACATGCAAGCTTTTTTTCCAAGGCTGTGGTATTTGCCTGCAAACAATACCTTTCAGCTAGCTAAAACAGAATATTGTGCTATCACCGAGCAACATGGCTAATGCCTTCCAAACAGCTTTGTCTCAACTCCAAAGAGCCACAGAAGTAAAAGCTCATAATAATAATCGAAACAATCTTTGAAAAAATGACTTACCAAGCATGGCAAACAACTCAAATATGTAGAGCAAAATGTTCTGAAGCGGCTTCACTTCAGCTTCGATTGGAGCCTATGGTGCTGGGGGCGGAGTCTGTGAATTTACTCTATTGGTGTCATAGCCCCTGTAGGTTAAGAGGTCAAGAGTTAATGTTTCCATTGTAACACCTCCAGATTTGTCAGAGAAACACTCATTTTTAACACTCGATTTTAACTACTATCATTTTACACCTCAGAGTTACATTAAAAGAATGTGACTCTACTTAGAGTAAAATTAACTCTACTTTTGCAAGGAGACAATTAACACCAAAAAATTTAACACTTTTGAATTTGCTGTGTGCTGCCCACTGCTTCACTGAGTTAATGGGTCAAATGCTGAGAGAGTAATTTCCCCACGGGGATCATTAAATTACAACCTTACCAACAAGCTTTAAAACCACATGTTGTAAGGTTTCACTGAATTTACAAGTTATTTGAGTAATAATTGCAAAATACTTCTTGCAATGTCTGTCAGTTAACAGCTAACAATTTCCTTTAACATTTTTTTTATACAAATCGTTTAGAAGACCAACTGTTCCTTTCCTAAAATTCATGCTATCACTTGCATTTCTAGTTTATTACTTGGTAATTTTTTTTCCACATATTTGATTTTCATCTGAAAAAGATGGTGTACTTAACTCAAGAATGGATATTTTAAATGAAAGTTCTCTAATGGCTACGTTAAATTCAACAGGTTTTTCAAGATTGGTCTTATTGGGGGCGATTGTGGCTCAAGAGTTAGCAGTTCGTCTTGTAATTGGAAGGTTACAAGACGAACTGTCGTTGTGTCCTTGGGCAAGACACGTTGTGTCCTTGGGCAAGACACTTCCCCCGGTGCCTACTGGTGGTGGTCAGAGGGCCCGGTGGCGCCAATGTCCGGCAGCCTCGCCTCTGTCAGTGTGCCCCAGGGCGGCTGTGGCTACAATGTAGCTTGCCATCACCAGTGTGTGAATGTGTGTGTGAATGGGTGGATGACTGAATGTGTAAAGCACTTTGGAGTCCTTAGGGACTAGTAAAGCACTATACAAATGCAGGCCATTTATGATTAATGTAACTGACCATACATCATATTTAAGTCAAAAGACACTTGCAGCTGCTTTGTAATATCAACAATTCTGTGTATTTCTCTTTTTGTATTCTTATATCTCAAAGATGGAAATATCTGTTAAGGAGCAGCTACTGCACATTCTGGAGAATCTGGGAGAGGTGGAGCTAAAGCATTTCCACTGGTACCTTCAGAATGCAACAAAAGGTGATTTTCCATCCATCAAAAAGTGCCATCTGGAGAACGCAGACAGACTGAAAACTGTAGATTTAATGGTGCAGACATATACTACTGACCATGTCATTGAAGTAGCAAGGACAACTTTAAAGAACATGAATAAAGGTAAGTTTAAAAAGAGATGTGAAAACTCCTTAGTTCACACTGTTAGTGTGACTTTGTATCTTTCCTCTGCAAATTATGTTTGAGGAAAAATAACCTGTTTATATTGTCTTAAAGTATAGATTTCCTCTCAATGTATACTATCCTCCAACAGGAAATTCCTCAGCCCAGGCATATTTATCACTTTCATCACAAGGTAAGCATTCAGTGGTTTGTGTAAGGGATCAGTGGTAAGCGAGGGGACGTTGTAGCCTCAGTGTGCATTAATTTAGAAGGTCAACATCAGCTAAGCTGCGACTACAACTCCAAAACATCATCAAAGGTTAGATACACCTTGTCGTTCAATGTTTGTCATTATTTTTTTTTTACTATTTTCTACATTGTACATACATACTGAAGACATCAAATACATGAAACAAGATATCTGGAATTATATAGAAAAGAAAAAATTGATAAAGAATTCTATGTCTTATGTTTTAGATTCCTCAAAGTAGCCACCCCTTGCTTTGTTGACAGCGCTACAAACTCTTGGCCTCAGCTTTATGATGTAGTCAGTATTTCTTGCCTTCTTAATGGGGTTGGGACTGTCAATTGTGGTGTTGCAGAGGTCAGGTTGGTACACAGCTGACAGCCTTTTTTGACAACTGTTAGAATTCATACTTTGGCAAGAACCAATCAGCTAAGTGAAGAGAAATGACAGTCCATCATTACATTAAGAAGTGAAGGTCAGTCAGTTCAGAGAATTGATATAACATTGAATGTGTCCTGAGTACAATCGCAAAAACTGTCAAGGGCTACGACAAGACTGGCTCAAATGAGGACCGCTCCAGGAAAGGGAGACCAAGAGTCACCTGTGCTGCTGAGGATAAATTCATCTGAGTCACCAGCCTCAGAAATAGATCCCACACAGAGTTTCAGTAGCAGACACAACTCTAAATCTGTGCTTTTGATCTGATGGGTCCAAGTTTGAGATCGTTGGTTGAAGGTCAGGACTTCAACTAGGCCACTTCAAAGTCTTCATTTTGTTTTTCTTAAGCCATTCAGAGGTAGACTTGGTGGTATGTTTTGGACCATTGTCCTGCTGCAGAACCCAAGTGTGCATCAACTTGAGGTTAAGAACAGATGAAAATCATTCATGGTTCCATTTATGACAGCAAACCTTCCAGTTCCTGAGCCAGCAAAACTGCTCCAGAGAGTCACACTATCACCACCATATTTTACTGTTGGTATGATGTTCCTTTTCTGATATTCTGTGTTACTTTTATACCAGATTTTGATGACATTCCTTCCAAAAATTAAACTTTTGTCTTGTCAGTCCCCCAGAGTATTTACCCAAAAGTCTTCTGGAAAAAATGAGAAAAAACAAAGTTTTTTCATCTTGCCATGCAGGCCATTTTTTAATGTTAAGAGAGGCTTGCATTCTTTGGATATTGTGTGACCTGTTGGATGAGTTATTGCTGCGCTCTTTGGGTTATTTTGGTCAGCCGGCCATTTGTGGATAATAGCTGTCACTGTCATTTGCTGGGGTCCTACAGCTGTAGAAATGATTTTATAACCATTTCTAGAATGAGAGATCTTAAGTACTTTGTTTCTTATTTGTTTCTGAATTTCCTTGGATGATGGCATAAAAAATTACAACAACATGATAATTAAACATAGACAAACTACAGTTGTGGTCAAAACTTTACGTGCGCTGATCATTGGTAATGGATAGCATGGAAATGTTGAGCTTTCAAATGAGTTATTTGAGGTGTTCTTTTCCAGGGTGGAATAATTGCATACTATACAATTTAATTAATTTATAAAACAAGAATTGAGTGGACAAGTTTGAATTTAATTTGGATTGCCTCTGATCCACACAAGCTGAAAGTATACATACAGGATCAAAATATCCAATAATTCCCACTGATATTTGGTTAAATATCCATAAGCATGTTGTACCTTAACCAGACACTTGTGGTTGGTATCAACACACTTTTGGCTAGGTAAAGTTTAAATAAATTATTTGGTTTCCTGGTACTGGCCTGACCATAACAGATTTTCAATTGTGTTAAGGCCAGGGTTTTGGAAAGATATTCCTCTGCAACACAAGTTGATCAGTTTCATGGTTTTCTGAGGAGAGGAGGAAACTCCTTATGTCATTTTTGTGGGATATTTGTTATAACCAAATGATATTGCTTACAAAAGTGTTAAGCCCCTTACCAAAACAAACAAACAAACAAAGGAAAAAGTGATTCACTGAATTTTGTTATGAAACTACTGAGGCAAAAATTAGGCTGAGGATACAAACTATTTCTAAATCTCAGAATATTTCAGCTACTCATCTGCAAATAACTGGCCAGTAATAATTCAGAAACAAGATGAAACCAGGAGCACTCACAGTCAGCAATCCAACTGACAATGTGTCCAGAAACTTATAGTGTCATAGTCTGGGGGGTTTTGTGTTGTTTTGAATTGTTGAATTATTTATGTAAAGTGCTCCATAACAGACAGTGTTGTTATCTGCTGTTTATTCATTTAGAAGTTCTTCAAAAATGTCAGCCCAAACTGAAGGCTAGGCTAAAGGAGAAATTCCAGTCTGTATTTGAGGGGATCGCTAAAGCAGGAAACCCAACCCTTCTGAGTCAGATCTACACAGAGCTCTACATCACAGAGGGGGGGACTGCAGAAGTCAATGATGAACATGAGGTCAGACAGATTGAAACGGCATCCAGGAAACCAGACAGACCAGAAACAACAATCAGACAAGAAGACATATTTAAAGCATCACCTGGAAGAGATAAACCAATCAGAACAGTGCTGACAATGGGAGTGTCTGGCATTGGAAAAACTGTTTTAACACAGAAATTCACTCTAGACTGGGCTGAAGACAAAGTCAACCAAGATATCCACTTCATGTTTCCTTTCACATTCAGAGAGCTGAATTTGCTGAAAAAGAAAAAGTTCAGCTTGGTGGAACTTGTTCATCACTTCTTTACTGAAACCAAAGAAGCAGGAATCTTTGATGACTTCCAGGTTGTGTTCATCTTTGATGGGCTGGATGAGTGTCGACTTCCTCTGAACTTTCAAAAAACTGAGACTGTGACTGATGTCACACAGTCCGCCTCAGTGGATGTGCTCCTGACAAACCTCATCAGAGGGATCCTGCTTCCCTCTGCTCATGTCTGGATAACCACAAGACCTGCAGCAGCCTATCAGATCCCTTCTAATTGTGTTGAAAGGGTGACAGAGGTCCGAGGGTTCACTGACACACAGAAGGAGGAGTACTTCAGGAAGAGATTCACTGATGAGGAGCAGACCAGCAGGATCATTTCCCACATCAAGACATCACGAAGTCTCTACATCATGTGCCACATCCCAGTGTTCTGCTGGATCACTGCTACAGTTCTGGAGGACATGCTGAAAACCAGGGAGGGAGGACAGATTCCTGTGACCCTGACTGAGATGTACATCCACTTCCTGGTGGTCCAAGCAAAAGTGAAGAATGTCAAATATGATGGAGGAGCTGATATGGATCCACACTGGAGTCCAGAGAGCAGGACGATGGTTGAGTTACTGGGAAAACTGGCTTTTGAGCAGCTACAGAAAAGTGACCTGATCTTCTATGAGTCAGACCTGGCAGAATGTGACACTGATATCAGAGCAGCCTCAGTGTGCTCAGGAGTGTTCACACAGATCTTTAAAGAGGAAAGAGGACTGTACCAGGACAAGGTGTTCTGCTTTGTCCATCTGAGCATTCAGGAGTTTCTGGCTGCTCTTCATGTCCATCTAACCTTTATCAGCTCTTGTGTCAACCTGCTGGAAGAACAAAAAGCAACCTCAAAATGGTCTAGATTGTCACTAGGGAAAAAGAATTTAAAATATCTCCACCAGAGTGCTGTGAACAAGGCCTTACAGAGTCCAAATGGACACCTGGACTTATTCCTCCGTTTCCTCGTGGGTCTTTCACTGCAGACTAATCAGCGTCTGCTACAAGGCCTGTGGACACAGAAACGAAGTAGCTCACAGACCAATCAGGAAACAGTACAGTATATCAAGAAGAAAATTAGAAAGGATCTGTCTGCTGAGAAAAGCATCAATCTGTTCCACTGTCTGAATGAACTGAATGATTGTTCTCTAGTAGAGGAGATCCAACAGTCCCTGAGTTCAGGAAGTCTCTCTACAGATAAACTTTCTCCTGCTCAGTGGTCAGCTCTGGTCTTCATCTTACTGTCATCAGAAGAAGATGTGGATGTGTTTGACCTAAAGAAATATTCTGCTTCAGAAGAGGCTCTTTTGAGACTGCTGCCAGTGGTCAAAACCTCCAAAAAAGCTTTGTAAGTAAATATGTAATCAGCCCTCTGAAATAGATGGTAGAATTGTCCATCTTTCACTACTTTTGAATTTCTCCTTTAAAAACTGTTTACCTTGACTTATTTGGTATTCTTATTTTTGGCACAACCTCACATATCTTTTGTTGACTTACTGTATTGACACACAAAAACCCCCATAAAATGGCAGTAGAAGAAAAATTTCCTGTCTAGCAGAAGACAGAGGGGGAATGTACACAAGAGGTATATCACTCCTCGTGTTTCCAGCTGGAGACAGCATTTGCATTTAAATCTGCCTTTTGCGGCCTTTGGCAGCAACTGTGACATTCAGTAGTCCCCTTATTGTTTTGTCAAACAAAACAAAGGAAAGAACATGACTATAACACTTACCAACTACACTACAAACTAACTATGCACTCAAAATATGCTAAACGTGATCTCTCACATCCCAAAACTCACTGTTGTCACTCCCACAACTTTCCTCTCTTCCTAAGTAACCAAATGCCCTGGGTTGCCATATAAGGTTTTGTTTGGTCTATGTGATTTGTTTTTACACCAACAGGAAAGTGGTTATCATGGGTATTTTTGTTTGTTTGTTTTGTTTCTTGCTTGCAAGAACTGTCAGCTAGTGCGTACTATGCTTTTACTTGTTTTTTTTAATTTCCAGACTGAGTGGCTGTAACCTCTCAGAGAGAAGCTGTGAAGCTCTGTCCTCAGTTTTCAGTTCAAAGTCCTCCAGTCTGAGAGAGTTGGATCTGAGTAACAATGACCTACAGGATTCAGGAGTAAAGCTTCTATCTGCTGGAGTGAATAGTCCAAACTGGAAACTGGAAACTCTCAGGTCACATTCTCGTTTTTTGGTTTTTTGTTTGTTTATTTTTTGTGTCTGTGTTTTTTAATCAGTTGACAAAGATAACCAGTAAGTTTTTCCTGTGTTTACATTTTTTCAGACTAAGTGGATGTAACATCTCAGAAAGAAGCTGTGAAGCTCTGTCCTCATTTCTCAGTTCACAGCTGTCTAGTCTGAGAGAGGTTGACTTGAGTAATAACAGCCTGCAAGATTCAGGAATGAAAATTCTGTGTGCTGAAAGTCAGTACTGGAAACTGGAAACTCTCAGGTCATATCAAGTGATAGTCTCTTATTCACCAGCTGACATAAATAATGAATTGAGTTAATTTCATCTATGTGTCATTTTAGCTTTGCATTTGTAGTATTTCAATCAAAATCATAGTGTGCTAACGCATTTTTGCGTTGTTAACACAAATCAATAAGAATGCCAGTGTAAAATATTGTCAAATCTGTTAAATCTTACTGCAACATGAATACACTTGAACACCAATATTACTTTTTTTTTCATCTTGTTTTCATCTTCGTAATTTTTCAGACTAAGGGTCTGTAACATATCAGAAGGAAGCTGTGAAGTTCTGTCCTCAGTTCTCAGCTCGCAGTCCTCTAATCTGAGAGAGTTGGACGTGAGTTATAACAGCCTGCAAGATTCAGGAATGAGGGTGCTGTCTGTTGGAATGATTTCCCCACATTGTAAAGTGGTAACTCTCAGGTCAGAAAGACAATATTTTGATGTTTAATAATAATAATAGTAATGGATTGGATTTATATAGCGCTTTTCAAGGCACCCAAAGCGCTTCACAATACTACTATTCATTCACTCTCACATTCATACACTGGTGGAGGCAAGCTACAGTTGTAGCCACAGTTGCCCTGGGGCAGACTGACAGAAGCGAGGCTGCCATATCGCGCCATCGGCCCCTCTGGCCAACACCAGTAGGCAAGTAGAGTAAAGTGTCTTGCCCAGGGACACAACGACCAGGACAGAGAGCCCAGAGATCAAACCGGCGACCTTCCGGTTACAGATGCGATTCCAGTTTATAAGTTTACAGAAATAATCAATAATCTGCTGTAAAATTAATAAAGTTTTGACTTTCTGTTCATATTTTCCTTATTATGATTTTTTCCACAGACTAAGCGGCTGTAACCTTTCAGAGAGAAGCTGTGAAACTGTGTCCTCAATTCTCAGCTCAGTACATTCTAATCTGAGAGAGCTAGACCTGAGTAACAACAACTTGCAGGATTCAGGTGTAAAGCTTCTCTCTATTGGAATGAAATGCCCACAGTGTAAAGTGGAAACTTTCAGGTCAGATCAATCAACATTCTCATTTTCTTAACTGATAAATGTAATCAATAAGAACTGAAAAAAAATTAAGTCAACGTCATTTTCATGTTTTTGCATCTTTGCAGTTTCAGTATTTCACCTTAAGTCACAATAGACTGCTACAACTTTAACTTTAACTTCTTGAACAGCATGTAAATACTGCCTAATGTTGTCTTTTATAAATACAGCATGTATCTTTTTTTTTTTAGTTTGAGTGGCTGTAACCTCTCACTGAGGTGCTGTGAAGCTCTGTCTGAAGTTCTCAGCTCACAGTCCTCTAGTCTGACAGAGCTGGACCTGAGTAATAACAATCTGCGGGACTCCGGAGTAACGCTTATGTGTGCTGAAGTGGAGAGTCCACACTGGAAACTGGAAACTTTGAGGTCATAATAAGTAATAAGTAGCATTAGCATAGGTAACATGGAGAGTATATAACTCTGTGACAATATGTCCATGTGTTGTTTTATCTTTTCGTTATAGTCTAAATGATAGTGAACTGCCTTGCTTCTACATAAATTGCATAAATACTGCTAATTTGCTGATCACTTCACTGCACCATGTATGCCTTTTTAAAGCGGTGTGCTTTTGTACATTTTTTTCTAGACTGAGCATCTGCAACCTGTCAGAGAAAAGCTGTGAAGCTCTGTCTTCACTTCTCAGCTCAGAGGCCCCTCGCCTGAGAGAGCTTGACTTGAGTAACAATAACCTGCAGGATTCAGGAGTAAAGCTATTGTTTGTTGGATTGCAGAGTCCACATTGTACACTGGAAATTATTAGGCTAGTATTTAGAATTTTCTAACTTTATCTTCAGGTTTTTCCTGACACTAGAAAACAGAATAAATAGAAACAACAGAATTTCCATATAAAGAGATTTTAGATTAGCCAGAAGTACAACCACTGCTGGGCCTTCTTCTTGAAAGAGTCTATAGATGAATGGCATTCTTTCAGGAAAAAAACAAACAAACAAAAGAAAACTACTAAATATATATATGTATGTGTGTGTGTGTGTTTGTCTGCAGTCTGTCAGGTTGTTTGATCACAGGGGAAGGCGGTATTTCTCTGGTTTCAGCTCTCAGCTCCAACTCCTCCACTCTGAGAGAAGTGGATGTGAGCCACAATCATCCAGGTGACTTGGGAATTCTTTCAGATGGACAAAAAGATCTGGACACTCTCAGGTATGGTGAGAATATCTGATAAAGAAGGAAGTGCTTAAAACTTTTTTTAGACAGACCTCTGTATGTATCTCCCTCTGACCCTAACTAATATTAGATTAATCTCTCTATAGAAGAGGACCTTTAATATATTATTCTAGATTAGCACAAAGTCTTGAGGCAGGTGAAATGATTTAAGAAGAAAAAGATCATTCTTCGTATCATAAAATCTGACTTGCTATAGCTAATGGATGATTATGCAATTTTAGTGTCATCGTCCAGGTGAGTGCTGGGTTTTCCTGCGTGCCAGTAAATCCATCACTGGGCAGAGTCACCACACCCCTAGTTTATGGCACCTGTGTGTAATTAGCTGGCAGGCTCTTAAGACCAGCGTTCTCAAACATTCTTTGCCGGAATGTCAGCTAACCCACCTTCTCAGAGGATTGGATCTTGTTGTCAGCAAACTCTCTTCTTCCCGTCGCTGGCTTGTTTTCTATTCTCGGCGCTACTCACCTGCCTGCCTCCCTGCCCAACACTTCACAGTGAGAGTAGACAAACTGGTTTAGCCTCACCCGGACCTCTATACCCCTCCAAGCCTCACCTTCTACCCAGACAATGACTCAGAGAGAAACGCTGTAATCCTGTACCTTGTGTGCCTGCTCCGGAAAATACTGTGCTAGGCTGTTTTTTTCCCAGCCACCTAAAGAGACTATTGCCTTTGGACTTTGCTGCGGCACACGCGGTGTGATTCTTGTTTTTTTGTTTCGACAATTATTGTGGAGATTGTTCTAGCCAAGCCTCGTGTTTCATAGCTTTGTTTAAATTCACAGCATCCCTAGTAATAGTTTGTCTTCTAGTTCTTGCCAGTCACAGTGTGTATTTCGTTATAGATTCTTAGTACCTTAACATGAAGCTTTGCATTAGTTTAGTAGGTAGTTTATATTCAGAGGTCACGTGTTTTCCCTCTCGCCCTTAGTTCACGTGTAGTGTTTTGTTTCATTCACCTCTTTCATTGCGTGCCAGTTTTGAGTGCCAAATAAATTGTTCGTTTGCACTATACCTCCGAGCCTCCGTGTGGTGTCTGCATTTTGGTCCACTTACCTGTGCTTGGCTGCCCAGTCATGACATTTAGTTCATTTTTAAACTTCTTTAAAATTAATAAATTTATTATTAATAGTCTCCCTATAGGAGATTTTTAAAACAATTAACTGTTTAATCAAAACCATTTATGATGCATTCTGAACCCTACAAAGCATTTTTACAGCATACCTCCTAGCATGGCTGACCAAAAATACGTGGCAGCTTTACATGTGGCATACCTGCTGCTTCTATACAGGTTGGGCCATTTATATGGATACACCTTAATAAAATGGGAATGGTTGGTGATATTAAAATCCTGTTTGTGGCACATTAGTATATGTGAGGGGGCAAACTCCTCAAGATGGGTGGTGGCCATGGTGGCCATTTAGAAGTCAGCCATCTTGGATACTACTTTTGTTTTTTCAATAGGAAGAGGGCCATGTGACACATCAAATGTATTGGTAATATCACAAGAAAAACAATGGTGTGCTCGGTTCAACGTAACTTTATTCTTTCACGAGTTATTTACAAGTTTCTGACCACTTATAAAATGTGTTCAATGTGCTGCCCATTGTGTTGGATTGTCAATGCAACCCTCTTCTCCCACTCTTCAAACACTGATAGCAACACCACAGGAGAAATGGCAGTACAGGTATCCAGTATCCATAGTTTCAGGTGCTGCACATCTCGTATCGTCACACCATAGACAATTGCCTTCAGATGACCCCAAAGATAAAAGTCTAAGGGGCCATTCAACTGGCCCACGACGACCAATCCACTTTCCAGGAAACTGTTCATCTAGGAATGCTCGGACCTGGCACCCATAATGTGGTGGTGCACCATCTTGCTGGAAAAACTCAGGGAATGTGCCACCTTCAGTGCATAAAGATCATCATCATGTAGCAATTTCAAATATCCAGTGGCCTTGAGGTTCCCATTGATGAAGAATGGACCCACTATCGTTGTACCCCATATACCACACCAAACCATCACTTTTGTTGTTCCAACAGTCTTGGAGGGATCCATCCAATGTGGGTTAGTGTCAGAGCAATAGCGGTGGTTTTGTTTGTTAACTTCACCATTCACATAAAAGTTTGCGTCATCACTGAACAAAATTTTCTGTGTGAACTGTTCCAAATTTTGTTTTGCCCATTCTGCAAATTCTGTGGGCCGATCTGGGTCATTCTTGTTGAGATGCTGCAGTAGCTGGAGTTTGTGAGGGTGCCATTTGTGAGTAGCTAATATCCGCCAAAGGGATGTTCGACTAATGCCACCCTCCAGTGACATGCAGCGAGTGCTACGCTGTGGGCTCTTGCTGAATGAAGCTAGGACAGCCACTGATGTTTCTTCATTAGTGACAGTTTTCTTGTGTTCGCATTTTGGCAAATCCAACACTGAACCAGTTTCACAAAACTTAGCAAGCAGTTTGCTAACTGTAGCATGGGAGATGGGTGGTCTCGTAGGGTGTCTTGCATTGAAATCTGCTGCAATGACCCGGTTACTGCGTTCACCAGATATCAACACAATTTCGATCCGCTCCTCACGTGTTAACCTCTTTGACATGTCAATGGCTTAGAACAAAGAGAAACTTGTAAGTAACTCACGAAAGAATAAAGTTTCATTGAAACCAAACACACCATTGTTTTTCCTTTGACATTACCACTAAGTTTGATGTGTCACATAGCCCTCTTCCTATTGAAAAAACAAAAGTTGTATCAAAGATGGCCGACTTCTAAATGGCCACCATGGTCACCACCCATCTTGAGGAGTTTGCCCCCTCACATATACTAATGTGCCACAAACAGGATTTTAATGTCACCAACCATTCCCATTTCATTACGGTGTATCCATTATAAATGGCCCACCCTGTACATTCCACAGTGCCAGGATTCCCAGAACATATGGCCACAGAAGTACAACAACAAAACAACACACTGGTTCAGATCCAGGAGGCTGTTCCTCCCACTCCAGGTCTCACTGTCATTGCCCACATGCACATCGAAGTCTCCCAGAAGAGCAACAGGTGGAGCACCCTCAAGTGCCCCGCCAAGGGACTCCAAGAAGGCTGGGTACTCTGAACCGTCATTGGGTGCATAAACTTAGATGACAGTCAGGACCCGTTCTCCCACCCGAAGTTGCAGGACACAAACCCTTTCATCCAATGCGAGAAATCTCAACATACAGGCAACAAGCTGACGGGATACTAAGATACCCACTCCAACACACTGCCTCTCACCAAGGGCATCTCCAGACCAGTCCAGCCCCTCTCTAGGAAACTTATTCCAGAGCCCAAGCCATGCCTTGAGGTGAGCCCAACTATATTTAGCCAGTACCTCTCAACCTCATGCACTAACTAAGGCTCCTTTCCAAACAGAGAAGTGAAATTCCATGACCCAATTGCAAGTCTTGGAAGCCAGGGATTGGTCTGTCAGGGCCTCCGTTCCTGGCTGCCGCCTGACACACATTGCACCTGACTAATACATGTGGCTGGTGAATGGCATGTCTGGATTATTCCCTCAAAATTGACGCAGCACTTCTCTAAATTTTATGAGTCAGGAGACCTAAAGGATCATGATGATCATACAATATCCTTCCCACTTGAAATGTTCTTATTATAAATGCATTGTTCATTAAAATGGTGGAGCCATGCATTAAATTATATATAATAATAATAATAATAATAAACAATTCTCCTCTCGCCCCTGCGGGCAGTCTATTCTTCAAGCTTGGGTCCTCTACCAGAGCTCTGGGAGCTTCAGGGTCCTGTGCAGTATCTTAGCTGTTCCTAGGACTCCGCTCTTCTGGACAGAGATCTCAGATCTTATTCCTGGGATCTGCTGGAGCCACTCGCCTAGCTTGGGAGTCACTGCACCTAGCACTCCGATTACCACTGGGACCACTGTATTCATGTAACTCCCTCTGCTGGGGTTACTTGTGTAGTAGTATTCCAACAATGCCCTGTTTTCATCTGTTGCCCACCAATGCTGTCTTGTTCAAGTAGCCACCTTCTCACCAGGGGGTACTGGTTCCCCAACACCTGATGCAGACCTTGTTAATCCGGGCGATGTCCGAGCCGGTATGACTTCATATCTCTCATGTCTGCAGTAGGCTTGATTTAGCAATGG